AATATCATATTCGTAATTAGCGACCCCGAAAACCCCCGAGTAACGAGTTTCAAGCGAATCCGATGAATTTTTCCAAAAGGTGTCCGCCATATTGGTTTTCTGGGGTTATATCAAAACCCTGAACTGATGGGGTTAAATGGACCTCGGATTCGGATTCAGCGACCCCAAAAACATCAAGTGCACATAGTGAGACCTTTGGGTCAGAACACAAATTTTTTTTTGTGTGGCTGTGTTGTTAGTGTCGAGTATTTAGGAGGAGGTGCAATTTTAAAATTTAATGTATTATGCAAATGCAAAAAAAACTATTTATTATTATTGAATTGATTGCTTACAACAAACATACGAATATTCTCCACTGATTCTCAAACCTTCGAAAAATTTCTAATTCTCACGTTCAAAATAATACAGAGTAAGTTGGGAACTAGCTTTTTCTCAAGCCAATATACACATTTCTGAGACAGATTTATATGGGTGCCAGACCGTTTCGATATTGTAGAAAATCGCCTGCTCAATGAGCTGGTCCGGAAAGATATGCTGTGGTCGATGTGAGTCACCCTTGACTACATGTGGACTATGCTTGAGCAGATGGGCCTCGTGTCAGCTCAGCGAATGCTGTATGTATGGTTTTCTGCCTGAGGGAAGATCGGAAGCGGTCAATTTATGCCCTTAGGCTTACAAACCCGCAGCTCTCAATTCTGGTGGGCGTATTGACAAGACACTGCCCTATCGGAGTTCTTGGAAGATGACGAAATTAAATGTCCAGCCTTTTGAAGACTGCAATCCAAACTCCTAGTATCGGGAAGGTCATCTGCGAAACTGCTTTTGTGACACCTCTGGCCCCTTTTCATAGACTTTGACAAAAATGGAAAATAAAATTTTTCAAAAAAAAAACCTCCCTTAATCAAACGCTTGCAAGCATTAAAACTACTAAGCCTAACTTATCACAGCCAAACACTTCATGTAATACTTATGTATGAATTTTCTATTTATTTTTTCTTTGAATTACAGCAAACTCCAGTCCGAAAATATTCGCAAATCGCCTGCGCGCTAATACCCTCTCGGCGGCTATTCGTTCCAACACCACCACCAACTACTACACAAATACTAACATTGCCACCGCCAGCGATGTCGTCTTAGATGATGATGCCGATGAAGCTGATCTCAAAGATGCCTCTTGGTTTCAGGCTGGAATTTCTCGGGACATTGCTGTCGAAGTGCTTAACAATAAGAGTCCTGGTGCCTTTTTAGTACGCAAAAGCACTTCTAAGCCGGGTTGTTATGCCTTAACGCTGCGTGTGCCATCGCCACCCGGACCTAAAACTGCCAACTATATAATATTGCGGACGACACGAGGATTTAAAATCAAGGTAAGCATTCGAGTTGGATTGCACTTAAGTTTTTGGTTAAAAATATATGCAAGTAGATAAAAGTTTTTGAATTCGGTCTTATTTTGTTTCTTCAATTTCTTTATATATTTTTAGGGCTTCCGTAAGGAGTTCTCCACGCTTCAGGCCTTAATCACACATCACTCGGTTATGCCCGAATTACTACCTGTGCCGCTTGCTTTACCCCGACCAACAAATATGACTTCTTCCAGACGAAATATTGACGACTTCGATACATACGATTCACTACAAATGTTGCTTAAATATTTACGCGCAAAAAATTTAGAAAATGAATAGAATTAAGCAGAGTGATATGGTGGCATACTAAGTAAATATGTTTACTGAATATAATTTAACTCAATGTTGTTAATGGAAAAAGCACAAAAATAGCAGAGTAAATTTATAAAAAAAGAAAGTGCAGTGAGAATGGTACGGAAAAGCCATAAGCTGGATAATTGCCAACGCTTCAGCAGCATTCATATAGGTACATATAACTGCGATCTAAAAGATACATATATAAATATAAGAAAAACATACAATTTGGTGCAATAGAACACGAAGAAACATTGCTTAGCAACATTGTTGAGAAACATTTTTCACTCAAACTCAGAGGGTCTTGCTAGGTATTGGCTTTCTCAAAGAAATGCTGGAATTTTCTGATTTTTTTCCACAAACTATTCAAATATTTCATTATTCACTTAAAACTGCAACAAAAAATCTTTCCAGCTAGTTTGAATACCACAAATTTCTAAAAAAAAAATTGTAGCCGCCAAAAAAACGTTCAGTAAAATAAGTTGTACGAAAATGTTTATTTTTCTATGAATAAGTTGAAAATGTTAGGTACAGTTTCTTGCATAACGCTTTATAAAGCCATGTTTAATAAAAACTACTGTCTCAAGCACATTTATTTATTTAATTTATATAACTGAGAGGGAAGTACATATATAAGAAAAAAATTAAAAATTATAGAAACATGTGATATGATTAAGTGACACTATATATAAGCGGCTGATGTGAGCGCACAGTGCGCCAGTTGCCTAAACTACATAGTTTACTTAGTACTATATACATATATGTATGTATTTAATGTTAAAGTTGTTTTGTGTATAACTGTTAAGAAAGCTGTGTACAAATATTAATTCTTAATTCATTTACCGACGAGGCCATGGCAGATGATGCAAAAATTTGGGCACATTTTGAGTACAATGTAAATAATAATATTTATTTTATGCAAAATGAAATACGTACGGGCAAAATGCAAAATAAATTTGTTTAGTTTTCATAAAAAAAATACAAGTTTTTCTACTATTTAAATTAGCTGAACTAAATAAAATTCAGGTAAGTATTTTTTTTTTAATCTTTGATGGAAGTGAAACCAGAATTTGTAAGTATTAGAAGAAGAAGATATAGGCCGATGAAAAAGTATATAAAAATAATAATAGATTGGTCGAGCTTCTGCCCCGCTTTGGGGCGTGCGCCTTGACGTTGTCACAAACAAGATCAATTTTGTATAATGTATAGCTCCCAAACAACTGATTAGAAATGCAGTATTAAGTTAAAGTTTAATTTTTCTTTGTTATGGCCAAAAAAAACCACTGTCCTTATTTTTGTCTAAAAGTTAGTCAAAAAAAGTTATTTGATATTGCTCAGTACACTTCGCTCTGATTTAACTGGCATTTAATTGATTACTTGTGCTAAAATATAGTATACAAGTACATATGTATGTATATTAGAATGCTCCTTAAAATATCAACATCTAAATTTTGTATGGAGCACACCTTTATTTTGTTCTGCATTTTTGTCTTGCATGAAAATCTCAAAGTTTTAAACAAATTTTTAAGGGTCACTAACAGTTTTAAAAAAAATTTAATTTTGTATATAAGTTTTTTCGAACTTTGGTAACGACACCTAGAAATTTGTCTAAAATGTTTAAATTTTGGTCTGTTTTATTCGTAGAACAAAATTAATAGATGCCGCACTAAAAAAATATATCATTATCTATTTTTTTACTTAGATCAGGCTAGATTTATAAAGGGAATAGGTCACAAATTTACCGCAGCCAAGGCGGTTTTGTAGTGAACCTCTATTTGGTTACAGGTGAAATTTTAAACCTAAGCCATCCTACATATCCACCTCAACAAAATATCTGCCTAACACTCACATCCGTACAACTTTCGATTTAGTGTGTTATATGACCCGTTCATGGATATCAACTAGCCTGGGGAACTTCATAAAGCACCGTAATAAACGGTGTGCTTCGGATGTCGGTCGAGCTTCCCATCTATTTACTCAACCTTAACCAGTTAAGCAGACCTATGCCCAGGTGGGCGACCCTTTTTCTGCGCTACTTTTGGGGCCAAATATGAACACAAAACGAAACGCGCTTCTCAAATTAGGCAACTGAAGCTACATTAGAGCTAAATAGCCCACCTCCAAGCTCTCCTACGACAGAAAAAATCAGGCAGTAGCAGTACGACCTCTAAAACATCCAACAAGGTAATGGATATATTATCTTTCCAACAATACTAAATATTTACGTCTATATTTGGGACAACCAAATTTTCTTCGGGTATGCGTTCATCTGACCATATTCTATATAAGATTTAATGCATACACATTATTAGCTCCTGGCCAGCGTACATGAATAGCTCAGCTGGCTCCATAAGCTTTGCTTTTTCAGCCGCGTAACTGCTATTCGTACCTCGTTATAGTCAGATGGTGGAACATCGACTCCGTCATCATCGACTGAGGGCGCGGGTAATTCTTCTCCACAACCTTCCATGCTGCTACCATTCAGGAAGGTGAGAAATTTTCCCTCCATAATTTAAGTCTGTTCTGAACAGCGGTAACTAGGTCGCCATTGTTATTTTTACAGGAGTACGCCCTGGTCTTGAAACCTTTCGTAAGTCGCCTAACCCTCTGGTAAAATTTTCGGGCGTTTTTCCTGTCGGCTAGCATTTTAAGCTCTTCGCACTCACGTATTTCGGTCCCTCTTCAGCTCCCTATAACGGTCACACATGGCTCGCGTTGCACTCGATCGCAGCGTGGCTCTGTAGGAGGCATCTTTCTTCTCTGTAGCTTCTTGCCACACCTTATCGTACCAGTTGTTCTTTCGGGATCGCTGGAATCCGACTGTTCCTTCTCTTCAGTCGGGGTGGGCGCAAATGAGCGAGATGTTGAAGAACCCCGCTTTGATACGGATTTTGGCTACATGCTCCTCCCCCGGGGTGGATGACAGCACTTGGCAACATAAATACGCAGGGCGGTTACTTGGAAACCCATCAGATCGTCGAACGCAATTCAAATCTCGGCATTGTTCTAAGAGTTTAAGCAGAGTTTACCAACGCACAATTTGAGAGAGAGCGCTTTTGTCCTTCAGTAATATTGAGCTTTTTAATTACACATGCATCAAACTTTCCATATATGACAAGTAATATTCTCAGGACACTTTTCTTAAGCAGAAATTCAACTTTACGTAGGAATTAATTTATGTATACTTTTCTTATGCCAAATGAAAAAAAAAAATCACAAAGTAATTTCACAAAAAAATTCCCCCTATATTTTGGGACGCTCTAATGTACATATACACATGTAAATATGTATGTATTGTCATTGCGTAGTTAAGTTATTGTTTGCTTCATAGTCACTTCAATCTCGGCAATGAAAATGAAAAACTCTGCTCATTACGAAAATTGTGTTCATTCAATGTTCAATTAAAAAGTTTTTCCCTTGCACATAATAGCAAATACAAACAGAATATGTATAACACACAAGTGTAATTTATCGAGGGTGTAATAACAAAAACAAAAAGGAAAAAGGCAAAATATTGCTATAGCAACAAAAAGCCGAAATGATGGCATAAGCATTTATGTGGATGCTAGATATAAATGGCGATGAAATATTAAATATTTTGGTTGTTGAAGGACTCAAAGGAAGGAAAAAATCATTGCCAATGGGACAAATTTATTAACATAAGAACTTTCATCAACATAAAAGCTACCCAGTAGGCAAAATAAGCAATTGAAGTGGTAGAAGCCCTTCTCCTTTGAGATTTTACTTTGACCCTCAGCTTTTCCCAGAAATCAAGAATTTACACTAAGGAATACCAACTCCAACTCACTTTCTTATGTGCTTTCCGTTGATTTGGAAACAAATAATCGCACAAACCTTGGGATGCAAGTGCTTTTCGAAAATCTTCAAAACTGCCTACCCAAGTGAAGATATCATTGAAAAAATCG